CATTTAATAAGAAAATTATCTATTAATTCAACTGGACTTTTTGAGGACCTACTCTGTATAAAATACTATTTCAAGTTCAAAGTAGAGAAAATCTTTTTTGACGTGAAGGATCTTCACACCAGAGAAATCTTTCAAAATATATTATACATTTACTATTTGTCTATCACTGATTTAATCTCTTCCTGATGACTTGGGGCTATTATACTCAAAACCAAAACAGATGGTTATAGTAATGCCATCACCATGAGTGAAACATTTCAGTGTTCCTATGCACAGATCCAGAAGATGCAGAAATGTAATGGCTTTTGAGATATTTATTGGTTTTTACAGGTTTTTTTTTTCTCATTGAAGAAATGCACATTTCTTCTTTTGAGTGTAACTCTCTGGAGATACTCCTTCCCTTTCTGGTTTCATCTGTATTTGGGAAGAGGATACTGCAGCTTGAAAGAATTATGAATAATCAAAAGGTAGAATGTTTACACTCTAGTAAGTGTATCTTGGATCGTGGAAGTATTTGTTCTTTCTTTCTTTCCCTAATGCTTCTTAACTATATTCCAGGAAAGTTAAAATTTTCAAACAGTTGACTTCCAGATATGAAGGATGTAATTATCAAGTTTCATTACATAAATCAATACAAAATTTCCAAACACTTTTAGAGCAAAATATCCCTTTGAAAACCCTCTATAATAAACAGGTATTTTTCAACAGCTATGATCAAAAGATGAAGCAACATCCTGTTTGATTTCATGAAGAAATACATGGGCAGACTGAATATATTAGTAGTGTTTCTGTATTTAACACATTATATTTCTGTCCCCTTAAAAACAAGGATAAACAACAGGAAAGCAAGGCCCAAGTCTGTCTTGTTTACAGGTATATTCCCAAAGTCTAATTTATTGCATTACCCTATTTTTTTTTCATAATAACACTTGGTATTACTTGAAGTAGTCTATGTGTTTGCTTGTCATTATTTTTAAAGATTTAGTTATTTCAAGGTGGAGGGGGGGAGAGAAGGGCAATAACAGGAAAGGCAGAGGAAGAAGGAAAGTGACTGAAGCAAACTGATCTCAGCTGTCAGCCCGATGTGGGGCTTAATCCCAACCAATTGAGACCGGAACCAAAACCAAGACTCTGACTCTCAACTGACCTTGCTACCCAGGCACCCCTGTTTTTTACTTTTTGGTCTTTCCCTGCACACAAGAATATAAACAAAATGGAAGCAGGGTGCTAGTCTTTTTTGTTTATAGGTGTATTCCCAGTGTCCAGAAGGCTGGGTGGCACCTACCGGATGCTCAAAAAAGTTTGTCAGAAGAATAAGACTAGGAATGAATGATGATCGTGGCAAAATATAAAAACTATCGTTTCGACAGGAAACACGCTTCAGGCTCTAAATCTCCCTCCTTCTATGAAGATTTCTCTCCATTTGTAGCACACATTATGCTTATACACACTTATAGTATGATCCCCCAAACATGTGATGCTCAGATATATTTCCCCCAGAAAGAGCCCTTGCAGCAAAGAAAATGCTGATCCAAAGTGAAGATCAACAAAGGGGGCAAATATTAGGTAATTTTATAGGCAAGACACATTAAAGGAACAAACCAGCAAAGAAAACCAGGAGGGAGGTGCCGACCTGAACAGGCATTCCTTGTACTCACGTTCACACACAGGAGCACTGTCATTCCAAAGGCTTTCCATTTCAACCAAGATGCAGTAACTAGCAGAACTGCCCTTCAGGTGGAACCTGAGGAACGAAAGCACCAGTGGTGGGGTGAGCGCACCGTTTCTCTCTCCCCTTCCGCTGAAATACAGTTTAGTGCCTGAGATGAATGCCAGGTGAAAAAGCCCAGCTCATCGGCTTTGTCAGCTGCCAGAGGCTGTGAAATCAAAACATTTGCAGGACTGCGGTTTCCAGTGAGGACGGAGCAGTGACAACGGTCTCTGGTTGTCGACCGTCAGGGGGTCATCTGTCCATCCTGCCCTCTGACAGCTCCCTGTCTGTCTCTGTCAGCAACTCTGTTCTCTAGGCCACAACATAGCACTCTCCTCTCTGGTGGCTCAGGAGGAAGACAACTCCCGATTCAAGCTGGTAAATCAGAGAAGGTGAGGAAAGACAGCAGAGGCTGCTGTTTTGGGCCCACACGTTCCGAATGTTCCAGAACACCACATCTGGCATATCCCCACTGTTGATGAGTTAATGCAAATTATCTGGGAAAGGAAGGGAAAGGTGAGAAGAGAGGGTTCTTTGGAGAGCAGTGGCTCCCTGGATTGCCTCCAGGGCTTTGTTGGAACGGATATTTGCTGCCTGCCAAGGGATCCTCGGAATATATGGAGGACAGCTGCTCTGTCGTCCATGCTTTTTACCCGTCAGTGCTGTTGGAACATAACACCAAGGTCATTAGGATTCCCGTAGAGAGTTCACGACCTTACTGCAAACATGAGCATAGGTCTTCATACTCCTGTGATACAGACTAACACTAATTAGCTGACCTAAAACTAGATGGAAAACTATTCCTCTTGATGCTTTGTTCCTATCCCGAATTCCACTATTGACCGGTTTAAATTTTTCTTGGAACAATCCCTGCATATTACTTGTAATTAACTTTCTTTGACATCCCAATCGTTTTATAAACAACCACTATGCAATATTTTTCCTTTCGTGCCTCCAAGTTACTTTTCATTCATACATGTAATGTTTCACCTGAATATCCAAGATTTCTTGTTACACTTCTGCTGTTCGGTGTATTTACTGTTTTTCCTTTTCAAGCACACGTGGCGCTTGGTTCCATCTGGTTCCCACCATACTTCCCAATCACTGTTTCGGGTATCAGTCCTTTCTGGTACTTCTTTGCCATTAGGCAGCTTGCTCTTTGGGTAGACCCCCATTGGCCCCGGTGTCAGCATAGCAGCATCGAGTCCTGTGTCCCCCGTCTCTCTGCCAGGTCATACTCACCCCTCATCACAAACGAAGGACACTTTCGCCCCAAGCTGGAAATTCAGTGGTAAGAGCACACGGCCATTAGGGAGTTGGCCCCGGAAGTCTGCACATGATTTCACTAGGATAACAACAGCAACAACAAGAACAAGAGAAAACAGAAGTAAGATGGTCATGTGAGGACGGAAAAGACTGATCTGCAAGGAGATGACAGTGTAGGCACCTGTACATCTTGGGGCCGCTGGGCTCCAGTCTCCCTGGGGCGTACAGCGCAGAGACGCTGCCCCTCGGAGATCATAGCCGGGCTCGCAGCTGTAGGACACTTCCTGCCCCGGGGAGAAATTGGCCTGGTTTTCTGCACTGTGCATTCCGTGCAGAATTTCTGGAGGCAGCTGACATACTGTGGAAAGAACAGGTGTGAAGGACCAGTCAGTGATGGAGAAACATCTTTTACTACATTCTAAACCTTCCGAGGAGTCCCAGGCTTATCATTAAAGGGGAGCTCAGATGTAACAGAGGAAATCAAGTGATGCTCCTGCCCCCTCCTTTTACCATTATGTAAAATCAGACAATGAAGGGATGTGCCCAAAGCCCTCACACCTAGTAAGAGGACGATCACTGGAGCTGAGTTCTTCCTGGCACAAGGTCAAATGCGTGACCAGGACCCTGAGGGTGCTTTCTCCAGAGCTGGCCAGTCTGCATGGAATTACTAGCCCTGTCATAAAGGAGAGCTGTGAAGGGTAGATGAGATAAGGCATTTAAAGTGCTTATTGCACAGCTGAGTAGAAAGTGCACCTCAGCCTTCAGGATATCGGGGAGATATTGGAGCTTGTATTTTACTCTGAGGATGCTCAATATGAGAGTCCCAAAGTCTCCTTCCTTGGTTGATGAAGCTCCTGCTTTCAAAGCGAAGGCACATATACGTAAGTGCACACACACACACACACACACACTCTCTCATAATTTCATGCTTCATTTCCGCACATTGTTCCCCACACGCATCCTTCTCCCAGAACGAGCACTGACCTCCTGATCTCCCTGCAACCCATGCCCTTTGTCGGTCCCTTCAAAGCCTCAGTCAGACTCACCTCGGGAGCAGCTCGGCAACTCTGGCCCCCATGTGTTTTGGGCTTGGCACTGCACGCTGGGGGGTCCTTTCATGACAAAGCCCGGCTCACAGATAAACCTCACGGTTTCATGTAAGGAAAATAAGGTCTTGTTCTCAGACACCCTCACTGCATTGTCAATGTCTGGAGGTGTGCACTTATTAGGTATGATGCACTGAGGCGGAGGGCCGCTCCATATGCCAACGCGATTGTCTTTGCTGGTGCAATATATCGATGGGTTGCCCACAAGCTCAAACTGCTTTTTCCCTCTCTGTCCGGGATGGCAGCGATAGGTCACCACGGTTCCATAGGGAAAATCTTCTTTGTAGGGGTTAATGACATTTCCGTTGGCAATGGCTGGGGGTGGCCCACAAGGAATCGCTGGGAAAAGAGATGGCAACTTAAACAATAGTGGATCAAATAGCTCGTCAGAAATGCAATGAGTAGAACTAGTTTTGCATTTGTTATTGGTTTTTAATCTTTGGTAACATGGAGATACATGTCTATGAGATTGTGATTTTGGTGGGCATAATAGCATGCCTTCTGCCTTTCCTGCTTATACTATTTCCTATGAGCATATGCGTTTTTAACACAATCCACGTTCCTTTCATTTTAGATAGCTCTTTGATATATTATCACACCATAGTGTACACAGGTTTCCCGTCCTCTTTTCCGTTTGCCTTCTTCATTTCCATTTTGTTATTAGCTCAGGAGAGTGTTCAAAAAAAAAAAAAAAATAAAAAGACCCTAGGCGCCTGGGTGGCTCAGTGGGTTAAAGCATCTGCCTTGGTCTCAGGTCATGATCCCAGGGTCCTGGGATCCAGCCCTGCATTGGGCTCTCTGCTCAGCAGGGAGCCTGCTTCTCCCTCTCTCTCTCTGCCTGCCTCTCTGTCTACTTGTCATCTCTCTCTGTCAAATAAATAAATGCAATCTTAAGAAAAAAAATAATAAAAAAAAACCAATAAAAAGACCCTTGCTGAAAGAAAAATGGAAGGGGAGAGAAACAACAGATATACCAGTGCAAGAAGTGGAATTCAAAATATTTGCCGCCTTCTTCTTCTTCTTCTTCTTCTTCTTCTTCTTCTTCTTCTTCTTCT